TAATACTTCCGACAATGGACGTTTTGAAAAGAAGACAGATTACGGATTTAGCCATCGTTTTTTCATGATTCTACATTAAGATTTCAGCGAGAGATAAACTGAAATAGACGCGAGAAGTACGCTGCGTCGCCAACTATGCACTCGACCCCAGAGAGTTAAAGCATGTGAGCAGAGCAATATTCGGACCATAAGACGCAGTGACTTTTTCTCCCCTCTTTTGGGGGAGGAAAAGGTGCGTCTTATGATCCGAAAAATACGGTAGTTTGTTTATTGCGAGCCCTAATTTGCTGCTATAACTTAAACTTGAAAATTTCATGTTTACATTTGGTATTTTCTACACCAATAATTATGTTAGGCCTATATTCATTGTTGTTTTCAATTTCTTATTATAGTTATTTTATATAATGCTATAATTCAATCTTGAAGGAATGTTTTGTTTTCTGGTTATATATTATGTAGTATAAACAGTTTAAACTTGAAAGTAGAATTTTACAAAATTGGTATTTTATAGAGCAATATTTTATGTTGGGCCTGTAATCATTTGTTTTTAAAAAGTGTTTTCTATATTACATTACTATTTTATATTTTTACATTCTTAAACATTTGCCCAGAAGTTCTAAATAAAAGAGGAAAATAATCACAAATGTATGAGTGCCATTCAATTTTGAGTGCAGAATTTAAGATTAAAAAAATAAATAATCCTTTCCATGTGGTCATTACATAAAAAGTATTTAATTGTATTTACAGAACATGTACCATCGTGATATATTTCATTATCGGGAAATGACATTTTGGTCATATCACACAGCCCTAACCTTGTGTATCACTTTAGATGGCAAATGCATACTTGCGTACCAGTTATGTGCACCCCTGTATATACAGATGAGCACAAAGTTTGGGGTGAGTACACAGGGTCAGCCAACATTCAGTGACCCTGGAACAGTGTTGTTAAAGAAATGACTACTCTATGGGCTGCAATATTCAACATTACAACCTTCTGGACACAGTCACAGATCCCTAACCTGTTGACCAATATACTGTCCCCCAAAAAGAAGGTTTTCTATTTCTAGATGTCATGGGCCATACAGTAGTTTATTTTGTATATGTACCACCTTCCAGGTTTGCCATTACTGATTAAGTAAATTACATACTGGTAATATTAATTCCTCTAAGAAAATATTTGTATAAAAAATTACTTTTAGAACCCACAGTTTGCCTAGCTCTGCTTATACTGTACAGTTTTGTAGTGCAGAGAAGGTTTTGTGTAGTTTGTGCTTCTTTCAGTTTTGCTTTTTTTTTTTTTTTACATTCAATCATACTTCCAAGTACTTTACAATAGGATACTTATAAGGCTGCAAATAAGCTAAACTGAATTACTGACTGATGTGCTGATTAGGGGTGACAAATAGTTAGTGACTAGGGCACTGATAGAATGCCGATGTAAATGATTAAGGGCTGCTGCAATTAGTCAATGTAGTTGATGACGTCAATGGTAAAAATGCGTTGACATCAATATTTTAAATTCATACTCCTTTTAAAATTATTTTATTGAAATTACCTTTTTGATTTCTAAAATGCTTGAAATACTTCAAAAATGTTTTCCTTCAATATTACCAAGTAATTATGGGAGCAGTTCAAATTCACGTCAAAAATCACAAAATAAAAAGGTGTTTTGTACACTGTGCAAAGTTTTGATGGCATACCACAGCAGCACTAGTGCTGTGCATGAGCACCTGAAGCAAAAATACATAGGCACTATATTGTGAATGATGGACCACCAAAATAGGCAAAACCACCGTAAGTATTATCTATTCACAGGGATGCACATAACTGGAATGCAAGTATGCATTCACCTTTAAAAGTGATACGTGCACCAATGTATTGTTGTAGCAGCACAAATGTATTTTGTGTGCATTTGTGCTGCTATGACAAGAAATTACCACACATTTTAACCTTTATACCACAAATTAGGATATGTTAAAATGCACAATAATTTGTCATATAAGCACAAATGCATATAAGTACACATTTGAGCTGTCACAACAATCAATTGCCATACATATCCCTTTTAAAAGTTGAATGCGTACTTGCTTACCAATTATGTGCAAATATGTCCACCAATTAACATATTTTTACCTTGTTTAACCACATTTAAAAAATCTTTTTGAAACACGTTGTGGTTGGTGAGCTGTCCTTTTCTTCACTGCGACGTTGGCGCTCATTACTTCCATGGTACAACAAAACAGTCGCATGTGGCGCACATGGATATGCCTAATATATACAGATTAATAACTTTTGGGCATCACAATAGCCTCTCATGAATACTACTAATCTGCTTATTGTGGGTGACCAAAATGTCCGTATAATGCCAAAAAAACATTGTCTGTTATCCAAAGCCCTTCAATGACATACAGTTTGTTGCTGTCAAAATAAAATGAACTTAAATGAAATGGTCAATTTGATTTTCTTGAGGAAAATTGTTTAGATTAATCGACCAATCGGTAAAAATAGTCGATAGATTATTATTTTTAAAAAGTCATTAGTGGCAGCACTAGCATGATTGAATCATATGGACCTTTCCATAAAACTACTGAAACAAAGTCAAAACTATTAAGTAGTGAACTCTACTTCATACAAATAACACAATTTAAAATCCCATGAACACCAAGATAAAAGACAGGCCATTCTGGAGAAATGAGAAATGTCCATGTAAATGGTTACCCCATTGACAGAAACCAGTAATACAACAGCCTAAAAAGATGTTTTGATTTTTTTTTTAAATAAGTAGACAACTCAGTTCCCTGCTGTTCCTTTAAGAAAGCACGCATTGACAAAAATTGTGTTGTCTATAAAAATCAAGAAACGTAACGTTTAGTTTTGGTGGTGTGGTGTTCTTATATACATCCTTCTAAGTGCTTTATAATATTTTAAAATGTGCTCTTTAAATGAATGTGCAATCTTACTATGCACTGCTGACAGGCATCTTGATTGTAGGCAAACTCCGGAGCACTGGGGAAGTACACTTTAAGCCTGCTCCACACATCATGAGAGATTAGTTTCTTCTCACCCACTGATATGGACATGCCCCCTAGATAACAGAATATATAAAGTTTTAAGTAAAATGCAAAAGACATCTTTTATAGTAAAATGTATAAATCCCTCCTTCAATTTGTAAACAAATAACAGGATTACATAGTACATACCATGAAGACAGAGAATATCTTCATTAAAGGTTTTCATCTCTTCATTTTCTTGATCTTTGCTGTCAGTGTCTGTAACATTAATACTTCTGTATTTTTATGTATGAAGAATATTTTTTGATAGCAAATACAGCAATACAGTTGTGCACATATTCCAGATAATTCAGCATATGAAAAATGCTACAATCTGAATGTGCTACCTTGGAGCGCAGAAATTTCTGGTCCTTCCCCATTTGTTTTTCCATTAGGTTGATGCGTTTCTTTTTGACTGTCTTCTAATTGTTCTAGTGCCAGTTGTCTCCAGCATCTCAAGGAGGCTTTTCCGACCCAAAATCCTTCATTACTACAAAACAGACACAGGGTGAAGCTATAAATGGCAGTGTGGAATATTATTATTTATTTACCAAAACACTGACCTTTTTACTGGTATTTTCATAAGGCTGGAAACTTCTTTGTAGTCTTTGTTCAACTGATTCTTGAGCCGTAGCACTCTGCATTGTTGTACAACACATTCCTTACAGAGGGAAGACCCTAGACATGGGGTACAAAACAGGTGTAAGATTATCTTACATATTACATCACTTAGGGCTTGTTCCTTAGTTGCAATGACCACTACTGAAAACCAACATAAAGGAAGGTCACATTAGAAATCACTCACACACACAGACACACACACACACAGTGTCCCATCTTTTTTCAATTTAGTTTTTATGTATTCAGTCACTAACTATATTCAGGACATTCTGGTGACTTAGTCAGTTTTGTGTTTATTGCTTACTACCAGAAACCTGACAGTGCTCCTACTGAGTAAGATGAGTAACATTTGCATTGAGGGAGTCACTCTAAGAATGGCTGGACATGGCCATCTGACAGCCTCGATCTGAAATATGCGCTTCCAAAGAGACAAATTACCCGCTTGAACTGTGTGGACAACTTTAGGAAGAAAGGTAATCATTTTACCAAGCTCCATATTGGAAATTACAAATTAGCAACATTACAGACTTTTTATTTGCATGAATATTAAAATAATAATAGTGTCAATACCTATGTAAACATGAAAACCATATAATTTAAACCATAACTATTTAATCTAACATTAATACAAATAATCCTGTCACATTGTAGTCACACTTGGAAAACCATAAAGTAGTAAACTGGTGTAACCCGTTGTTTCAAGAAGAAAAAATAAATAAATAAAATTATATTTATATTTATATATATATATATATATATATATATA